CTCAGTCAAAATAGCTCTCCTCTCCTCCAGCCTCACTTGCATATCTGTAAAACTTTCCACCGAGACCCTCTCACTCAGAAGAATTAAACACACAAGCCTCCTCACAAATTCAAAACGCTGTGCAACATTACTAATGAGCGCCGCTCCACGCTCTCCTGCTATGCCTGTTGTTCTTTCTCCCCTCTTTCATCTTTCTTTCTTGCTCTCTCCTTCCACCCCTCTGCTTCTGTCTCCTTTTAGTTACGTAGTATGAAAGATAAGCCAGCAGATGATGCCGGTTTGCACGCTCTGTAGTTCTAGCGAAGGTGAGAGCCAAGTACCTCAGGAGAGAGACTGTACTTCCAGTACTAATGAGGCCTGGGGAGACCCGAACGCTGCTTAATGCCGCTGACAGATATTTCATCAAGCCGGGAGCACTGGCTACCATCATCGCCCTCATCATCATCGTTGTCCTTCATCTCCACTATTCTCTCTCTGTTACAGCACTCAGTGCGCTGTATACTGCATGAATTTCGACAGGGTAGCGTTGTCTAAAATCAAACGCAGCTGTTGTGCACTTACCAAAAATGACGACTGTAAATGATGATCGCACAATGTGCCCGTTCACTGGAGCAAACGCAATTGCTGTGGCTTCCTCGACCTCCATTAGGCGTTTTCTGTCTGCAGTCACACCGCTAATAGGTATGCTGAAGTAACATACTGTAAGCTTGCCAAAGTTTGGTATAGCAATGGAAGAACGCAAATGAGACACAACATCGATGTCCCGAGTCATACTACATGCTTATGTGTTTAATACATATATGGTCATGGCATACTGTTTTAATTTTAACTTTACCATAGAATACTAAGAGCAAATGTTTAAATACGAACATTGTTGGTTGGCCGTGTCCTAAGTTTTCAGCAGCCCTTGTAATTTATTTATATTCTTTTACTGCTGTGAGCACTATGCTGTCCTATCCTACTATTGATCCGGGATACGCTGTCTTATGTAGGCAGGATTTTAAATAAATACTTCAATATATATGGAAATGTGCTTATTTGCTTTTTGACCATTGAAAAATCAACTTGTCTGTGGCCTTTGCTGAACAATGTAACAGCGACAGTGTTTCTAAATTGCCGTAAATCAAATTGGACATTTTCGTAATGCAATTTTCACGTAATTACTTATCAGCCGACATTTACACTGATATCGATGTTTCCGCTACAAGATAACACCGTCCGATATATCAATCTAGCTCTAGCTACTGGCAGCATTAAGACTGGAAACAGATAGCTTTGCTCTGTCTCTACAATAGGTAACAAAATCTGCCCACCAGCACCTCTAAAGCTCGTCAGATAACACGTTAAGTCTAGTTTGTTTAATCTGTGCGAAAACCGTATTGTGAAAATAACACATTGTGGTTTTGTTGGCTGACATGACTTCCTGTTATCGTTCTTCACATTTGACTTTCAACATAAAAGCATATTTCCAAAAATGTCAAACTTTTCCTTTAACTTAAAGTTTTAGTTGAGATACAGCAGGATAACTAGTTAAAAAAAGGTTTGACAGGGTTTGCAGCAAATCGGTGCTCAAACTCATCCTTTAAGTACTTAAAGTGCTCCAGATTTTAAACTTCAAATTACTTTGGCAGCGAAAAGTGCCGTCCGTCCATCCCTAGCTGACATGTATCGATTTCTGATCTAATCTCAGTCTGAGGAAGCCGAGATACAGAGATCCATAAAGCAGACAGATTCTCACTGAACACATTTCCTCACTGTGAAGGAAAACAAAGGTTGGAGATCTTGGAACGATTTTAGAGCTTTCCATCATTTATGGATGTCAGTTTCACTTTATTGGGACAATTAAGTGCTTCTACAGTGGATTTACTGCGCGATACAAGCGTCCATTGTATCGTCTGAGAGAAACAAAAGGCTGTGATCCTGTACAACACCCACTGATAACAAGGGAATTGTCAATTGGGTCACACTACACGCTTTGTATTGGAGTTTTACAGAGTGTACTGAGAGAGGGTTCCCAAATTAGTCAAGATAAGCTTTAATCAAGGAAAGGCAATTGAACAAATGAAGGACAAACTTCCTCAGCAACATGAGGAGGTTTATCATGCAAGTTTTCTGTTTAGCATGCCCCGTCTGCCAACACAATGATCAATAAATCTCAGTCTGTCTCACTTGTCCCGAGATTTGTTCTGGAACTGTTATACAATGTCCATTTGCATCTTCCGAACAAACAAAAAGTTTCGCAGGAAAACTAAATTGTTACTAAAGGCATCCATCATCCAAGCTGTCAATAACACCAGCTGGTCTACATGCACTGAATAAATCATGTATGACTGAGACGTTTAAGTTGAAAGTACTGACCCACATTGACTTACTGTGTAACCTTTACTATATCGTGGGTGTAGTCCACTGTTATACAGGCTGATTGTAATGCAAAGCTAAACCGTACTAGACTGATCGCTCCCTAATCAAAACAGTGACAGATGGCTGAGAATGTATTTTAGAACTGGTCGGTCTTTTTTTGGCAATCAGAATCTGAGGCGTGAGGAGGTATTATAGCGCTCTATATTCACGACGACAAAATGGCGACTAAACGAGGACAGATGTGTGAATTAGAAATGAGGGCCATGTGGAGCCTGCCATTTTTAGACCTATATTTAGGGCCTGTTAAAAGAGTAATGACCATCAAAGGCCTGTAAAAGAGAGGAATTGCCATCAGAGCCCGTATCTAAAAGGTGATTTATTACACTCTAATGGGAGGGAAATGGTCCTCTGCACATCAAAGGACAAAGCAACATTGTATATAGACACCGAAAATAAACTTATTCAGCCCACACCACCCACACGGTCTTCTCCTCACACAACTGAACTTGACTGATTGTCTCTTTAATGTTGAGCATATTTCAGGGAGCTGTTGCATTAGATTTTAATTTAAAGTATACGTATGTTGGCAACTTTTTCTGTTTTAAGTGATGTAGTATGTTTGCATGCCACTCACAGAGGGTGGTGGAATGTGATTGTGATGGATTTATTGTTAGATTTTTATGACTGAACTCCTGAAATAGTCTCCAAGCCTTTTTTTCATGCCAACAATGTACCAATAATTTTGGATAACTCCCACCCCATCGGGCAGTGGTCCTGCTGACACTGCGGTGAAGGTTTCTACCGTGTCAACCACACCTTTCACCAGCTAGTGAAATCCAACAATCAACAGTTTAAATGAACCTACAGTCATGGGGTTTCTTGTGGATTTGGCAAAGCAGAACGCTGCCTGACACGTAGTCTGAGTTGGCATTGCTTTTTGCTTCATTACAGACTAAAAAAAAAAAAAACAGGGAAAAAGTATGTGTTCATAGCCTGCCAGTGCTTCGTGAGAAAGAAAGAAGAGAGATTTGGGCTTGGCTTCCTGTGCCTACTGAGCTGATATTCAGTCCTATAGAACCACTGGCTCAGTTCAGCAGGAACAGGAGTCCAGTCTACTCGCCACCGAACCAGAAGCAAACACAAGCACTGGTGGCAACAGAGTTTTAGTAGGTTATACACAAGTGCCGCTTAGATTCATATAAGTATCCCAATTTAAAAAAATATATATATATATATATATATATATTTTTTATCTTTTATTTTCTTTCTTTATTATTATTTTTAAAAAAAATTTTAAGATTTTTTTTTAAGTCAAATTCAAGAAGTTATCACTTATAGTATTGTAATCTGCAAGTTATGGGACGTCAAACCAGTCTCACTAAAAACTAAGCCGAAGCAAGAAAGCAGAAAATGGCGGACAGTCCGAGGACACCGACCTTCATTCAGTAGCTGTGGGGTCTGATCCCCAACTGCCTTGACTCACTGCTGGATCAGCAAACTTTCTGTTGCTGCCACCATTGGCCACCAGCCAGCTGTGACCCCCAGCACTGGGCACGAGGCATATCGTCTCAGCCCTTAAGCTGCTGTTCGATTGGACAACTGAGTTATTATGGATCTAGTTTCACTTTTTTTTTCTTTTTTCTTTTTTTTTTCAAGATTTGAAAAATGATCATATCCATAGTGGTACCACATTTTTCACACAGCATAAATTGCACTGTATTTCAAGAAAATACTTTGTATAATTTCATTTCTTTAAAGGAGAGTTTCTTAGAACTTTTATCTGTCAAGTAGTGTAAATATTTTTGGACAAAACTCTGACATGAACACATCTATTCTGATGGGTTCGAGCTAGGCTGATAAATCGGTAAGGCTGGTTTTATATGTTGCCATCATCTTATTACAAATAGATCTATAATTGAAACAATTAGTTGATTAGTTAATGCTAGAAAATGAATCATGAACAATTTTGACACTTGATAAATGTTTATGAGAATTTGTGTTTTTGGTCTGTGTTATATGATCGTAAATTTGATATCTTTGGGTTTTGAACTGCTGGACTCCCAAAACAAGCAGTTTCCCCTATTTTCTGACATTTTATAGAATAAAGAAATACTACTAATTTCTTCTTTTTTTTAAGATTAGTAATTAATTTAAAAAAACTTTCAGCTCAAATGTTATATGCCATAGCTTGTAACATATAAGATCGGCAGATTAATAAAAAGAAACTGCAGCAGTAAGATGTTAGAATTAGTGTTGGTATTACACAGTGTCTCCAGCAGAGGGTGCTGGCAAGTGTAATTCTTAACTGTAAAATATCCTGCTCAGTACTTTAATTGATTTTAAGAGATCCTAATTTAAAACTCTATTCGTTGATTGATTGATTTTTTCTGCTTTTTAAACTCTCAAATATTGAGAGACACACACACACACACACACACACACACACAAAACCCAGTACTGGTCAGGTGCTGTGTCTTCGGCCAAAATCATCTGAACTGGATTATTTCTCTGGACTGAATACACACAGTGCTCAGTGTTTGCCTTCACATCAGGTGGACACCACCAGTTCAGCCAGAGGACTGTAGACATCTACCAAATGTTTCGTAATACTCCAATCTGAACATATCTTTCTCTTCCAGGTTGCCGACTACAGACGGAGATGACAGGAGTTTGGCACACAGGGCGTACGAGGATCCAGCGCCCACCTCCTCTTCCTCTGTAGGAGAGGGGACGCTGCAGAATCGCTCAGCAGTGTGAACACCAGAAGGCTGCACTCTTTTACTCCACAGCCACGGCCAGTTGGCAAGGTTTAGAGTACGGCAGTTCTGTCCATTCAGGTCTAAAGAAATAACTGGTGTGTGTGTGAACCAGCAGCAATACAAGCGGTTCCTGGTGAGATGCAGTGTTGTTGAGTACGTTATTGTTGTGGTAAGAGAGAAAAATAACATCATTGCACCAGCTTAAAAATGACAGACACTGTAGAAAGAGAGGTATTTCATAGACCTGCGTCCATGTTGAAGAACCTAAGCTGCTGTTTAAGTTAGTTTCGCTAGGTGAGAGTGTGTGTGTGTAGGTGTGACTTCATGTCTGTTTAGTCTGAAGGCATGATCTGGTTCTTAAAAGTTTAGACGGGAAATACTTTCAGGTTTTTATACGTAACAATTACTTCAGTCTGGCCAGTAACAACACTGGAAAATACACAACCAACGACTCTCAGGGCATTTCTACTTGTATGAATGATGGTTTTGTAACTGCTGTGTGAACAAATAATAATGCTAAACTTTTTCTTTTCGTTTGTATATTTTAAGTGAAAATTTTTGATATGTTCATGTTAAAATAAAATTATTTTTAAATAATATCATGCCTTTTTTTAAGCATCAGTTCATGCCTATTAACTTAAACATCTATAAACATCTGTATAAGTGAATTAAACATTAGTTATGTAATGTATTAGGTTAGGAGTGTAATCCAAGTGTATATTTTGCTCACAAACCCAGGGAAGAAAATTTCAATTAGATTCTGTATTGAAAAAAGGTTCCTGCACAAACTGTACTAATGTGTGATGCTAAACTACAGTTTCCCTCCAAGAGATCAAATCATTTAAACTCAGATCTGTATCAATATGACTTCAAAATATTTATTGAATAAGGATGGCAGTGTTTGTTACAAAACAAAGCATGCCCTTTCCATTAAACTCCGGTAATTACTCCAACATTTAGTCCACTTTTTTACCTTTAAAGGTCCAGTGTGTAGGATTTAGGGGGATATAATGGCAGAAATTCAATATAATGTAAGAAGTACGTTTTCTTTAGTTTATAATCTGTGAAACAAAACCTACTAAACAAAGAACACTACAGAAAATCTACCCCAGAGTTCATGTTTAGCACACAGGAGAAGTTTCAGCTGGTTGCAGTCTGCAGCCCTCACCTATAGATGCCACTTAATCCTCCACACTGTTCCTTTAAAGGTGGAAAACAAGTCTGTACACAGATTACAAGTACATTGTGTACCAGACTGAAAACATATATTTTCCAGCATGATGCCAAAAATCCAAACCATTTACTTAGCCAGCACAAGAAATGTAAATAAACAGTATGCTGCTGTTTATGTTTCTGTCAAGCTCCAGCAGTAGTCAATCAGTAGTCGTATTGTGTGTTATGTAGACGCATAAAGCAGGATATTCTCAAATGTTTGGCTCCAGTGGTAATTTTAAATGTCTGCACTTGAAATCATGGCTCAAACACAAAAGGACAGTCATTCTACATCTTTATCAATAGTAAAGGAAATGTACATAGAAATATAAGTGACATCACATTGCACATTAACATCTGAACACAAACAGTATTCATGCAAAGATAACTGGTGTTTGCTTTTCCTGTCCTCCAAACCTAAATGTCTTTCAGTCGACATGTGTGCTGTGAAGGATTTATATTGTAAGACAATTATATGAGTGGGAGGACTCTGACATGTTGTATGCGCTGCTGCTTCTTTGCAGTGTGATCTGTCACTGCTCAAGTGTCCTTGTGGGCCTTGTAGTTGCGTTATGTGTGTGTGTGTGTGTGTGTGTGTGCGTATAATTGTAGCCTCTCCACATAATCTGTCCTCGCTGTGCTGTTTTGACACACTCCTGTCATTGCACTGCAGCATATCTGCACAAGAGAACATGGTGGCTATTTGTCATTCTGCAAAGGTGCCCTGAAAAAACCCTGAGCCGAGGATGAACTCACTGCTGTGTGGTTCTGTGTGTGTGTGTGTGTGTGTGTGTGTGTATGAGCTCTCACCTGCTTTAGAGTGTGTGAGCGTGTGTGCCTGGTTCTCGGCAGGGCCTGATGCTGCATGCATATGTGTTAGTGTGTTGTGAAGTGCCTTGATCCTGAGATGAACTCTGTTAGCATCGCTTGATGAGCAGCTTCCTTCATTCAGTCTGAGTTCCAGTGAGCTGAGAAGACGCGTTGCTTCATCAAGCAGACCAGACCGATCCACCACCTGGACTGACACAAGCGCGCACGCACACACACACACACACACACACACACACACACACACACACGAAGACAACACAAATACTTCTTGTGACAGGCCTTTACCAGAAAAGCAAAACTGGTATCTGAAGACATTATTTCAAAAGAAAAGGGACTCGTTATTAGTGATATATTATGATAGACTATGACTCAACAGCACACTATATAATCCTAGATATGTACTTAAATCCATTGAAGTATTTAGAGCCAATTTGACATCAAAAATCAAACTGTGCTGTACATGCAATGAGAGATTTTGGATAAGAAATAACCTACCATCACCTGTAAGAATCAAAGTCTGAGTAATCTCTAACATTCAATGCAGAATTTAACTCATATTAAAGGTCCAGTCTGTAGGATTTAGTGGCACCTAGGAGTGAGGTTGCAGAGCTGAAACGTCTCCTGTGTGCCAAGCATGTAGAAGAACTACGGTGGCCAATGCGAAAACATGAATGGACCTATCTAGAGTCAGTGTTTGATTTGTCCTTTCTGGGCTACTGTAGAAACAACATGGCGTCTACATGGCAGAGGCCCGGCTTCATATGTAGATATTAATGGCTCATTCTCAGGTAACAAAAACACAGCATTTCTTATTTTCAGGTGATTATAAACTAATAAAAACATAGTTATGAATATTATTTACAATTTAAAGGTTCGTTTTATTTTCTGTCATAAAAAACCTAAGCATAATACACTTGTTTAAAGTGTGAGTTTCCCACACATTCATGTATTTATGGGGCCCATGACGATAACAACATCTGCCACTACGTATTCATATATCATTTGGTTATTCACTGCACCACACTCTTGGAGGGCAGATCATACTCTGGGCACAGACAGAGCAGCGGAACGCCATCTATCTGATCTGATCAGCTCTGATCAGAGGACTGATCCATTACCCACCCCGCGACTCAAAAGCTCTGCAAACTGCTGCTGAGGGAAAAAAAGAACTCATGAAGAGTTACGCTGCTTCACGGCCTTGCAAAAATCTCTGAATTTAGAGAGGGGACACACAAACACACACACACACACAGAGTAAAGTTTGGCGATCCAAATCTGTCAGCTACTGCCACACATTGATTGAAGTGCTATGCTCTTCCTGTTCTTGTTGCGCAATGGTTGACGTACATCCTTTGTGATATTAATGGAGCCTTAAATTTCCTGGGAGATCATACCCAGTGGCAGACAGAGTTGCAAAGTGAAAAGGAAAGCAATCTAAATGTCAATGGTATCATTATTATATAGCCACTACATTGTGCAGTCACATTGACTTCATAATGATAGGTTAAAGCAAAAAACTCGTCTATTTCCACTTTTTATTGTCAACTCTTAAGCCTATAAATATTCTCTAAAGTACTCCCAAGACTGGATATTTGACCATTACCTCCATGCTGAGAAAGATTGTGTGATTCGGGCTCCAGAAAAGCTATAAAGAGGACCTTGTGGTGAGATTGGTCAGCTGTTGTTTCCAAGGTCAAAAATGAACATCTAGGCTCAAGTATTTACAAGTTATTTTGTAGCAGAACAACATGTACAATGAGTCACGATGTGCCTAACTGTCTAACCACGGGATGAATGAAACACAAATTAGGAAATGACTAAAAACAGATTCTGGGCAGAAGAAAACAGATCGCTTCCTCACCGTCTGTAAAATCTGTGTTGATCCACTCAGCGGTTGTTGGACGAAAACAGCAAAGTTGACTGCGAGGTTGAGGATCAATAATGGAGACAGTGATGATTGCTGAGGTTGTGTTGACAGCAGCGTGACCAATGACTGCAGCCGGTCAACAGGAAGAGGGCAAGCTGAGACCAAGAACAGGGAGCGTAGGTGGTCCCATACTTCTCTGACACATACCTGGAACCACGGATGACATGATAAATTTAAGGTCAGCTGACGAATGTTTTATTTATAGACCACAGTGGATTCAAGGAGTATCCCTTTAAGTATCTTTCCTAGAAATAAAAATCAATAGATAAGTAATTCACAAATGATGAACAAAGACAAGTGCATGCGAGTTGAGCGTAAGATCATAAAAGGAGAGACGGCGGCGACGACAGCGAGTCTCCCAGGGTTATGAGAGGAGGCGGACAAACAGGAGACAGGGAGATGAAACTCGGGCCAGCTGGCCAGACACTCGCTGAGAAATCAATACTACATCACCCTTTTCACCCGGCTCCCCTCCCTCATCTGTATATCTCTCTCTCTCTCTCTGTCTTCGCCACTGTCTCATTCTCTCCTGCTCAGATCATCCATAATTTATTCTTTAATGTGTTCTTCTTCTTTCTCTGTATTTGCTCTCTGGCTTTTTTCTGCCAGGAGCATATAACAGACCATCCACATTGTTATGTTGTTGAGTTATGATACTGCACATGCTATAGACTATCTGAGAAAGTACCCTCTACCTCCTCCTCCAGTCATATCAAACAACACGTCAATAATACAGTAGGCGTTTGCAGCCCAAACAGTTCTGGGGACTCCCTGAGAGGAGCTGCCCACTGGGGAGCTCCCACGAGAACTACATACTTTCAAGGGCTTTTTTTCTATGTGCATTCTCACTGCCGATAGCAATGCTGAACTGACATTAGCCGGGCTACGCCTATTTCGCTTTGAGGATTCAAATTTGTGTTCAATTTCCCCTGTCGAATATTTGCTAATGTCAGGACTTCACTGTTGGGTCGATTGTGCATGTTTTCTTCCATCTTTTTTTGTTGCAAGCTGTTGTTTTGGGGTTTTAGTTGTTGGTGGTTTACACAACTAACAGGTTTTTTGAAAAATAGCAGTTGCCAGTGCTGCACTGGCTCATGTTTTCGACCAATCAACGTACACTTTGGTCACTCAAGGTTCCTCTTGTGCTGGAGAGTACCTACTCTAAATTAGGAGCTAAAGAAGTCCCTCAAAACAGCCCAAATCGCACAGGACTAGTATTAACCGGAGACCTCTAGTGATTTGTAATAATTGCGACAGTCGTCTGTGATGTTAATCCGGTGTCAATCTGCAATTGCATACCATATTTCGCCATACACACTGGTTGTGTGATAGTATGAGTCCTGTGTGAATTGACATCTCTGTGATTTGATGTGGTTCTGGGAGCTATGAGAAGTTCCTTCAATCCAAAAAACAAGAAGTGTTGTTTCTCACCATTAAGCTTCAGCAGTGTTGCCAATACAAGTGCAGTAATATGATAATAGGTCAAATGGCAAAATAGGTTTCCCAAATTAAATGTTTATAAACTAACAAACATCGATAGCGGCTCGAAACACTAGATAAATGCAAAAAAAAAAAAAAAAAAAATCTTTTTAGAGAAAATCTTACCAGCTGCTGTGCTCTTTGGTGC